AAATCAGGAAACATGTTAGAGCTGTATATAGTGAATGCTTCAGGAGGTTCCAGGGCTCTGGCTGTACTTACCTTTTATCTCCCATTCTCTGCCACAATTCCCTCCAATTTTCCCAGTTAATGAACTTTTTTTTACCTATTGGCCTTATTACTTCTACAGCAATCACACCTCTTCCTGATTCCAAAGCTGCAGAGGCTGCCTCCTCTGTATGTTCTTCCCCTCAGCCTGTATACCATGCTACCTCACGTGTACTTTCAGCCTCTCCAACATTCTTAGAATGATCAGAACTTTTCCTTGCTTTTTACAGCCCATACATCCCTTGTCTTTGAAAGTAGTTCATCTTTCTCCATACCTTTCACCCCTCTGCAATCCAACCAACTTTCCTAGATATTCACAAAATTCTGGTAAGAAGGAATTGTTAAGAGGTGTGTGCCCTTTTTATAAACAAACTAGCTGGAGTCAATTTCTATGCCAATAACTAAGTGAAAATATAGAATCTGAGTCTTGCTGGAACTTTCCCTGGTTTGCATGGTCAGCTCTCTCCATTTTGAAAGCAGTGCCACTTTGTTTTGTTTTTTAAATATATTGAATATCTGTCCAGATTACAATCTTGTTGCCCTTTGTGGATTTTTTTCTTGTTCTCTCAAACAAAATGTAATTTTTTTAGGTTATATCAAAAGCAAGTCTGCATGTGAAATATCAAACTATTTTATTTCTAGATGCGCAAGAGAAAAAGTGTTGTGATCATGTTTTAAGAGTTTCTTAGATTTAACATGGAAATCACTTATTTCCTTTAAACCCTTGCCCACTGAAAAAGCAGACAAGCCATGGACCAGAGGTCCTCCTGCCTCAGCCTCCCAAGTGCTGTGATTATATGAGTATTCACATGAGCATGCTTCAGTGCTCAATGATTTCCATGGTTTGTATTAACAGTGTGTTCAACTATGTAAGGAACTTCGTGAATGAGTTTGAGACCCAGCAAGGACACACCTTTCCTGTGGGGTCCTTTCTGGTTATTCCTATAATATATATTATAATATATATCTTCCCTTGTATTTCTTAAAGAATATAATACTTTCGTTATTATAAAAAGTGTTTATGTTTTCAAGATAAGAAAATTTATGAACGAAAATTACTGAATTCAATAAAAAGGCTCAGAGTTACTTAAGTTCAGATAAGTTTCTTTAAATAATTGCATTAAACCCTTTACCATTTGCCTTGCAGTATAACGCCTGGTTACTGATGTGAACCACAGCACACTCCATCCAGCTGTTCTCAGCTTCATTTATCTGACTGCAAGTAAAATCACAACTGGCTTAAATGTCAGTACCAGTGGCCTAATAATACATTTGAGTTTTCTTTCTTTCTTTGTTTTTATATAATTTATTTTTTCTCAAATCGTAATTCATTCACACAGGGGTTATAAACACAGAAGGACAGGATGTGGGGAAGGGAATGACACTGGAGTGTGGGTGTTCAGGGGGAATACAGATATCTTCAGAACCGGGTATCGGCTAGGTAAAGGTTCAGGGGACAATTCACTATGACTCTGCCTATGACTCGCTTGTCCTTATCTAAGTTGATATTGTCTGCCAAGGCTACCTATTTACAAGGTCTATGACTACTCAGGCTTGTAAGTTTCCACAAAAGATGCCTGTTTACATTAGCTTATAGCCATCTGTTTCAGCGTTTTTCCACAGAGACCCAAGACTTGGTGTTAGTATACATGTATGACAGTCCTATTGCTGATTTTAGGCCTATGGCTGATTTTAGGCCTTCAGTGGGTAAGCAGGGCTGCCCCTGACATCTCCTCCCTTCTCTAAGTATAGAAGGGCTGTTTCAATTCTAATCTTGTGAAGGCAGGGATAGAGGCCTGACCTCCAGTACTTGAAGGGGACCTTGTAATGGCTCCAGTCCCCCTGTCGTTGTCCAGTGAGGCATGAGGGCCATACCCATCCCGATGTCTTTTTCCTGGAGAGGGGATACTTACATTTGAGTTTTCAAACAACATTTCCCATGTTCTAACTATCCAGCTTCCCTCCCTCTCCCACTGCTCCGGGTAGATACTGCTCCTGCAAGTGACATCCTATAATTGTTTATCCAGGAGACCTCAGAAGCATAAGTCAAGCCTAGAAACAGCCACACCTAGGTAAGAGCATGAAGCTACTGCTAAGTACAGCTACAGAGCTGAAGGCCTTAGCCTTCATGCTAAGAGCTTAGCCTTGCACCCCAAGCTTCTGCTGTAAAATCATCTGAAACTCAAGTATACCCTAAAATATGTGCTGTTTTGTTTTTCTAGGTCAAGCTAACGGCTACTACACAGAAATTTTATTTTAATCAAACAGAATACTCAGGTAAACAAAGGTAAACTGAAGTACCTCACTTGTTTACATTGTACCGTTACAATAGATTTTTTTTTTACCTAGTTCCTCCACAAAGAAAAAATTAAAACCCTTCCAATGCAGTATTGAATTTGGTTGTAAATACATTTTGATTAATGATGTGATAAAACTTAATAACTATAAAGAATCAGAACTAGGCTAAAACCACCTTGACTATAAAGAATTCTAACTTAGAATGAGGAAAGAAACCACCACTTGAATTTGTAGAGTTATCACCGTGTATCATTTAGAGTTTGCCCTCATTAATTCACTCAGGAAGACACTTTTTTTCATGCTCTAAAGGCATCAGAATGCCTACCTGGTATTTGCAAGTCCTCATAGCCGTTTTTAGTGACAACCATGTAGTGAGCCAACTTGTAGAGATGACTGAGTCTATTTCAGTAACATGTGAAGCATGCCTTTTGTGAGAAGTTAAGTAGAAAGAGGTAGTAATACAAAGGAAATCTAAAAGAAGCTGACTTGCCAGATCTTTTGGTAATTGTTACTCATGCTGAGATATACCAGGCACAAGGGCTTACATAACTTACACTGGTATTATTTAAAAGTGATCTCTGTTGTCAGATTACCCTAGTAGGAGAGCAAAATGGAGACAAGGGCGGGGCATGAGGCATCCAGGATGAAGTGTACACCCTCAGCACCTTGAGAGCGAGAGTGTCTTTAAGTCATATCTGACATTTACTCCCTTCATACTCAGTCCTTCCACATGAGAGCCTCAAGAGATTGTTAGCTGGAAGTGATATTCACCTGATATTCACACCCCACAGTTGAAGCGAGGCTTCAGAATTGATACTACCTCAAGTAGAAAAGATGTAGTCATGTCTAACCTAGTACTTGTACACTTTCCCCATTCCAGTCGAAAACTGAAAGGCTTTGTTCCTAGGGCACAGTCCCTGCACTTCCCCTAATGCCTCTGATAAGGACCCAGTAGCCTCTTCCATAGACCCTAGAGTTCCTCTGGTAAGCAGCACTGTGGGTCTGTTACCTTCTGAGAGAATTCTTAAGCCTATGTATTACGTGCCCCTTGATTTCACCTTCTTAATCCTGTCTTTCCCCACTCCTTCCATAGACAGTGTCTAGCACTATCTCTTGATTTCACCTTCTTAGTCTATGTCAGCCCTACTTCTACCCTATACAGTGTCCAGCGCTACCTCCTCACTGAGATTGCAGTCTGCTAGTTCTGCTTCTTAGAAACAGTCAGTGGCTCACTCTGTCACCTTATAAGTGGCCCCCACTTTATCTTATTAAATCTTATCAGAAGTAATCAAAAGCCACCCATTATTATGGCAACCCAACTGTCTCTATGTGTTTGTTTGTAAACATTAGCTGTGAGCACTCTAGCCATGTTGAAAATTACTGGAAAAGAAAATCTGTATTATGAAATGAACCCAAAAAATCCACAGCCTAGGATCTTCATTTTATCAAAACCTTCCAGGATCCTTCCTGATTTGCTGCTTAATGAACTTCTGTAGACCTTAGTATGTGCTTGAGACTAACGATGAACACTGTACAGATATTAGTTTGGTCTTCAAAATAACCCTTTGAATGTAAGACAGATCTGTGGGAAGCCAAGTGTATAGACAGGGTATAGGGAGGTAGAGGGTGACCGTGGTCAGTATACCTGTACAAAAACAGTCTAAGGATTATTTAATTAATAAAAATCAATGAGTAATAATTATCAATATGTTCCAAAGTAGGAAATTATTTGACATCCACATAGTGAGACGTAATGTGCATTGTAACACATAGACACATACACACACAGAGACCTTAGTGCTTCATTTCACAACTTCCAGTCTCAAGTTGAAAGTAAACATAAAAACTCACAGGACTTAATCCTGTCTTTCCCCACCCCTACCCTAGACAATGATTGTCCTGAAATCGAGGTATTGTTTTCCACACAAAGAGGTTGATAACTTGATTATTTACCATCTCTTCTAAAAGGGGCCAGATAGCTGTCATCCCACAGATATCACTAAATAGTTAGACTAATGAAACTAAATTCCCTATCATCGTTGCTTCCAGTGTGACATACTTAGCAGGGATGTGCAAATCAGAAACAAAAACAAAAATTTAAAAATCGAGACAGAAAAAACCCTAAAAGCATAGTTAGTTCTATAATAATTTGAGATTAACTCGAAACACCAGTAAGATGCATGTGTGGGCTTAACTCATGATGTACAAGCCTTTAACTATACCACTTCACCTGTGCATTTCTGACACGTCAAAAATTTTAGTCAACTCACGAAAGAATAAGAGATGCTGAGGCTGGAGAAATGGCTCAGTGATTATAGAGCACGGTCTGCTCTTCCGGAGGTCCTGAGTTCAATTCCCAGCAACCACATGGTGGCTCACAACCATTTATAATGGAATCCGAGGCCCTCTTCTGGTGTGTCTGAAGAAATCCAAGAGACCTTACTGATTAGAGATTTATTTTTACATAGGGGCCGCTAGGGGGCGACACAGACCATTCATAGACACTGCAGCCAAGTCATACGCACCTTTGGCCTAAAACCAGTTTGCGCTCGTGCACAGCTACTCTAACGTCAGACTTTTTTACGACCCACCCCCGCGCGCGCCTGCCACTGCGCAGGGGTGAGTGTACGCACTCCATTGGTCGGGGTGCCGGAAGGGGCGGGTTCCTGAGGAACCCAGGTATCCGGTCGGGCCTGCCCGCCACCGTTTCATCCTCCGCCGCGGTCCTTGGCGTGCGGCGCGGTGTGGCGATGCCCAGCGGTGGGGTGCGCCCCGACGACCGCGCCGCGCCGGGGCCCACCCACACATCGACTGCTCATGCCGAGGCCCTTAGCAGCAAGGTGCCGTGGGACGCCGGGGAAGGGTGGTGGGCGGCGGGCCCCGCGGTGGCAGCAGTGCCCGGTAGCCTCAGCACCTGCAGCTGGTTTCCCCTCCGTCCTGCAGATTTGCGATGGTGGAGGCACAGGAGGTTGTCCCCCTGAAAACCACAGTGACACCGGGGCAGAAGTCTTATCGAGGTTTTCCCTCTACGCTTTTGCACCACTAGCCACCTCCAACCTTGCACACATAGATCTGTTGCTCTGTGGCTGTGCTTCATCCAGATAGCCAAGCACCCGCCTGGACGCCATCCGTCACGAAAGTTTAGAAATCTGCACCTTTTTTTCCAGACTCAGGGAAACGCTTCTTAACCGATGTTCTCAGCTGCCTGTTACCTTAAAATATACTCTCAACTTTAAGTGACCCTAAAAACATCCGTTTGGTCATCATTTTACTTTTCAACAAGGGGAAGGAGGACCCTAGCAAATTAATTTTTTTTCCCCTTTCTTCCTTTGGGATAGGGTTTAGTAAGTAGCTCAGGCCAGCCTCAGATATTGTTGTTTGAGCATTAATTGAGTTACTCTCTTACCTAATATCGAGGACTTCAAGGAAGCACCCTCATACCTGAACTATTAGTAATTTTAACTTCCAATTGCAGACAAAAAAATCTTGAAACGTGTAGAGTAGAGGGGTATGAGTATAGTCTTGTCAGGTATTAAACATCCTAAATTCTCTATATTTTTCTGTCCCATATGACATCTTGAGTACATTGCCTTATTCCCACTGTACCACAGTGGTGTCACCCACAGTGAGATATATTACATACCCGTCATTCCTGTAATGAGCAGAGTTGAGTCTCTAGGAGGGTGTATGTACTCAATGGCTTTGTAATTTACTAGTACAACCCCTTCAGCGATGCCAGTGTGGAGACATAAGGGAGCACACTCATTTGGGTGGGGATGAATTCTCAGAATACTCTGGCTACTGCCATAGCAAGCCTCTTGACACTGTGTGTAGCTGTGTCCGTACTTAACAGACTTATTGCCTAGTTGGGCATTTCATTTGGTGATGAGGAATAAGCCTAGCTTACGTATACCAGCAGTATGCAGTCTTTAAGATGCAAAATAGAATGATACAATGGTAGACAGTTATGTTGTATCACTGCAGGTAGGGCATTCAGTACCATTTCATTTGTTTTATCTGAATGTCTGGCTGTCATGTAGTGCATACATCATAAAACCACTGGTTGTTGGTAAAGACGAGAACCCACATTCATTTTATTTCTTTTTTTAGTCTACAGCAAGACCTTATAAAATTAAGAGATTGGTATTAATTTGGGTGGATAGTGGATGTGAGCTAGGATGACTGGCCCCTGGCAAGTCTCAGTCAGCTTTTCCTTCTCCAACTGTCTTCTGCTGACTGCAGACTGGGTGCTGTTATATTTGTACAGTATCCATTAGACGGACAGTCCATGACAGCTCCCAATCCCATCTTTAGTTTTAAAGCAGTGATTTAAAATGTCCTCACTAAACATAGTTTGGAAACTTCCACTTTGGGTTTTTTTCTTTACTTTAATAGATTAAAGAACAGAAAATCATTGTGGATGAACTGTCTAACCTGAAGAAGAATCGGGTGAGTTTCTGTGGGAATCTGAGTAGTGTATAGTATATTAAAATTATGATTTAGATCATTTATGCTAACATATCAAACATTGTAATTTAAAAACTAAAGTGGTATCCTAGTTTGTTTTTGCATGCTTTAAATTTGTTTTTCCTGTTTATGTCAATAGATCTCAAAGATGAAAAGGTTCTTTATTATATTTTAACAAAAAAGAATGAAGTTTTCCTCAGAAAACCTTAATATTCCAAATACTTAACCCATTTAATGCCTTTTTAGTGAATGTATTCATAAATCAGCTGCGATTATCTGATGACTGACATTCTCGACATTTTTGATACTGTCATTTGGGAAATATTAGATGGTAAGGCAAATTAATACAAAAATTTTTGGAGATGAAACTGGGAAAATGTATAAATGCTGCATGACACTTGAAAGTCACTGGCCGTAAGCAGTTGGGAGGATGCATGTGTGTTTACGTGCAGAGACACTTGTTGGCCTCTGTGGTGAAGAGCTGACAGTGAGTAAATGTCTGTAGCTTAAAGGCAGCGAAGGACTCGTGTTGTACCCATATGGTAATGTAAAAGAACCTTCCATGATCAGAAAAGGTCTCCATGTATTATTCATTTATCAAGTACATTATAAACCTGTGGCTAGGATTGCTTTTGTTACTGAAAGACACGGTGTGATGACACATGCTAAGCAAACAACCATTTCTGGGTGACATAGTATTCAGTGACTTTGTGTTTGTTCATCTGTGGTAATTACTAGTCTGAATATTCCTGAAGTTCAAGAGTAAGTGGTAATAGCATCCTGCTCTGCAGGCCGCATCCTGATGATGTGAATTTCTTTTCAGAAAGTATACAAGCAGCAACAGAACAGCAACATATTCTTTCTGGAAGATCGAACAAAAATGTTTTCTGAAAGCAAAAGTGAGTGGTAGTCTTTTTGGTTTTGTTTTCAGAGTTATATATGGAATGCTACAGAAAACCTTTTGTAAGCTTTTTGGGTGGATTTGTAATAGTGCCTCAGTTAAACCCTATCTGAATGAATGTGTGTGTGTGGATTTAGTACAGTGGCCTGTTTTCCAGTTAGCCTTCCAAAGATGTGTACAGTGGGTTGGTTTTGGTTTTTGATTTTTTTTTTTTTTCAGGGGAAGGTCCTTCAAGACAAGACAGGGGTTTTCTGTGTAGCCTTGGCTGTTCTGGAACTCACTCTGTGGATCAGGTTGGTCTTAAACTCAGAGATCTGCCTGCCTCTGCCTCTCAAGTGCTGAGGTATAAGACATGTGGTGCACCACAACCACCTGGCCGATGTTCTACAGTTCTAAAAAGACTCTTCCGATAGGGATGGGGCTGGGATTTGGATTGACTTGATCTTGGGCAGACAGCCATGGTTGCAGAGAATTCATGTTCATAACAACCCCTTCATGTCTGGAAGACACTATCTTGCAGCCATCGCCCCAGTCTCTTGTTATGATGGTCTTCCTGCCCCCTCTTTTATCTGTGAGCTTTGGGTGTGATACAGATGTCCAGTTTAGAGTTGGTCACGGATGCAGCTCACTGAGGCTCTGCACTGCACCAGTTGTGGTTCTCTGTATTACCTGCCATCCACGGCTAGTGTTGCTGCTGGTAGATAGCCCAGGCCCCAGTAAGAGATGTGAAATGAGAAGTAGAAAGTGGCTGTGGTCAAAATGTATCATAAATATGTATGAAATTCTCAAGGAATAAAAAGTATAACTTTAAGATGTATCATCTTTACTTATTAAGTAAAGTAGTCATGTATATTTTAAGAGCTTGACAGAAATATGAAAAATCATTTTACAGTGACTTTCAAGAGTAATACTTTGAGTTTCTAAGGCAGCAGTTCTCAGCCTGTAAGTCATTACCCATCGGGGGGGGGGGGGTCACACATCATATATTCTGCATGTCAGATATTTATATTACAATTCATAACAGTAGTAAAATTAGTTATGAAGTAGCAACGAAATAATTTTTTGGTTGGGGGTCACCACAGCGTGAGGAACTGTATTAAAGGGTTGCAGCGTTAAGGAAGGTTGAGAACCACTGCTCTAAGGTCTTGAAGTATTTAAAAATTATATATGTAAAGTACTTAGCCAAGTGATTGGACAAAATATGTACTCAGTGGAAAGAAACTATTACCAAAATACCAGCATTGTTTGGTCACTAAAGCATTGTGAATTATTGCTGGCATTTGTATAGTGCATCTCATATGGTTTAATCTTGAGAAGTAGCCTGTTTTGTCCATGAAATAATAGGTAAATATTTTTGAAATTTCACTTCAATATTTTTTCTCACTCTCTAACAGAAACATTAGATGAACTAAAACAAGAATACCAAGCATTAGAAAACTCAGAGACAACCGAAGTCAAGACACAGTCAGCCTGACTTCACAGAACCATGTGTGGCATTTGCTGTTCTGTAAGCTTCTCTGTTGAGCACTTCAGTAAAGATTTGAAAGAGGACTTGCTGTATAACCTTAGACGGCGGGGCCCCAACAGTAGCAGGCAGTTGTTAAAATCTGCTGTTAACTATCAGTGTTTATTTTCTGGTCATGTTCTTCATTTAAGAGGAGTTTTGACTATCCAACCTGTGGAAGATGAACATGGCAATGTGTTTTTATGGAATGGAGAAGTTTTTAATGGAGTAAAGGTTGAAGCAGAAGATAATGACACCCAGGTTATGTTCAATAGCCTTTCTGCCTGTAAGAATGAGTCTGAAATGTTGTTGCTCTTCTCTAAAGTGCAAGGTCCGTGGTCATTTATATATTATCAAGCCTCTAGCCATCACTTATGGTTTGGTAGGGACTTTTTTGGCCGGCGTAGCTTGCTTTGGCAGTTTAGTAATCTGGGCAAGAGTTTCTGCCTTTCTTCAGTTGGTGCTCAGATATCTGGAGTTGCAGACCAGTGGCAAGAAGTTCCAGCATCTGGAATTTTCCAAATTGATCTCAATTCTGCTGCTGTTTCCAGATGTGTGATCTTAAAATTATATCCTTGGAAATACATTTCTAAGGAGCATGTTGCTGAAGATTATGCTAATGATCTGACTCAGACTCCAGCAGAATTGCCAGAGTTTGTATCAGTGGTAATAAATGAAGCCAAACTGCACCTCTCAAAACCTATTGTTCCTTTAAATAAGAAGTTGCCTGAAATTCCGTTGGAAATTCAATGTAGAAACAGTTCCAGCATTCCAGGTACAAGAGAGACACTTGAGATGCTTCTTACAGATGAACACACAAAAAAAATAGTTCAGCAATTCATTGATGTCCTCAATGTTGCAGTCAAGAGACGTATCTTATGTTTAGTTAGGGAAGAAAACCTGGCATCAAAGGAAGTTTTAAAAACTTGTGGTAAGAAAGCAAACATTGCAATCCTGTTTTCTGGAGGTGTTGATTCTATGGTGATTGCAGCCCTTGCTGATCGTCATATTCCTTTAGATGAGCCAATTGATCTTCTGAATGTGGCTTTTGTGCCTAAACAAAAGACAGGGCTACCTATTCCTAACATAGAAAGAAAAGAGCAAAAGCACCAGGAGATCCCTTCTGAAGAGTCCTCTCAGAGAACAGCTGTGGCTCAGGGTCCAGATGATGCTGAGGTGCCAGACCGAGTCACAGGAAAAGCAGGACTAAAGGAACTGCAGTCTGTCAACCCTTCACGAACTTGGAATTTTGTGGAAATTAATGTTTCTCTTGAAGAACTACAAAAACTAAGAAGAGCTCGAATATGTCACTTAGTCCAGCCATCGGACACAGTTCTAGATGATAGTATTGGCTGTGCTGTCTGGTTTGCTTCTAGAGGAATCGGTTGGTTGGTGACCCAGGATGCTGTGAGATCTTACAAGAGCAGTGCGAAGGTATGCCCCAGGACTGCTGCTCAGAATTTATGAGACCTAATTTTTACTGAAGCTTTCAACATTTAAGGTTTATAACTATGCTGTATTATAGTTACACTTTCTAATACAGTGTATTTGTTTGTTTTACTATTTTCTGACTTGTAGTTTTCCTCCTAAAATGATAGGACTATAACTCTTTAGCCTGTCTGAGAAAAATCGCACTTGTTGTCTTTATCCTCTTGTCATGGCTCTGGCTTTCTTTACTCTTCTGTAGGTGATCCTCACTGGGTTCGGTGCAGATGAGCAGTTGGCGGGTTATTCCCGTCATCGTGCCCGCTTCCAGTCTCTTGGCCTACAGGGACTGAATGAGGAAATAGCAATGGAACTGGGTCGCATTTCTTCTAGAAACCTTGGTCGTGATGACAGAGTTATTGGTGATCATGGAAAGGAAGCAAGGTTTGTAAGAAAAATACAAAAGGAGGTTTCACATTTCTTTTCCCTTGGAGATTGGTCCTGTGCAAAGCAGGAGAGTGGGCATGCTCTCTCTACATTATAAACTTGGTCAAGCGCAAAGCTGATGCAGCCTGGGAGCCGTAAGCAGCTTTGCAGTCATGTTCTGAGGTGATGAAATGGGTAGCTCTTTTTAGGATTACAATGAAAACAGGACTGTCCAAGTGCCAAGCAAGGCAGTTTAAGGGTTTTGTTTTGTCCCACAAACCCACCATGACTTTCTCCGCCAATACTGTAGAGTCTGGTTTTATCTGTGTAGGCATGGCTACTGTAGTGATCTGTGGAGGTCCCAGTCCTGGATTTCTGTCTAGTGAATGGTTTTTTGAACATGATTTAATACTGTTAGAGCTAGTTTAAAATCGTCAGAGAGACCCAGTCACTTTCATGTATGCTTTTAAAATCTTGGGTTTATTTTTACCTACAACATACTTCTGATGATAATAAAGACATACTTAAGTACAGTATTTTTAAATATTAAGGATAAAGGAAGATGTGATGGTATGAATAGTTGAACTGTGGACCTAGGTATGGTAGTTTATATTCATCAGACAGAACTGGAAAATCATGGGTTCAAGGCCAGTGTGGGCTACGTAGCAAGACCCTGCCTCAAAAATAAAAATGAGTGAAACTATTTAGCTAAGAAATGACATTTTGTTAAAAGGATTCAGTAGGCAAGATGGTGGGTGATCATGTAAAGCCTCATGAAATCAGGGACATGGTAGTACACTTGCTTCCCTCTTTGTGTGTCTGAGAATTGTTCCCAACATTTATTTCATGGTTTTGCCCTTTCTGTTGAATTATGATTACCTTCACCCAATTGTCAGTGCTAGTCCAATTTATACTGTTAATGCTGTTCTACTTCTTAAGACTTTATTTTAAATAAATAATTAATACTATTTTACACAGTGTATAAACTGTTCTCTCTTTTAAGAATATAAAGCATAAGGGTCAATATAAAGAGTTGAGAAATAGGAAAAAAGAAATTGAATTCATTATCATAAGGTAGAGGAAGGAGGAGAGTATTTTGATGAATTCCAAAGGCATTATATGAAATTATAATGCTACACTCAGATGAGAATGTTGATGAAGAATGTTTTTACAAGAGTGAATACAGTATAACTATATTGCATTTCTGAGTATGGGTACAGGGTAAAAGATGGGATGGTATGATAAGCAAAACCAAAAAGAGAAAACCCTTAATTTCATAGAAAAGTAGACAAACAGAAGGGCACCTCATTACTCAGAGTTGAGTTTCTGTACACATGCTCAAAGCAGACGTGAGTTTGCGAGCATCTCCTGAACAGACTGGGGGCATGCTCAAAGACACTCTGGAAAAAAACTTGGAAATTATTTCTTGTTATCATAGACAACTGATTTATTTAGGCTTTAGATTATATTTGTTATGTATATATAAAATCACCATGTTTTGAAATACTTTTTTAATGTAATTAAATTTTAGCCATTAAAATGTATAAATAGTCATTAACAGACTATCTTTAGTAGTAGTCACTATTATTATTATTATTATTATTATTATTTTTGATCAATTTTAGATTTCCTTTCCTGGATGAAAATGTCGTGTCTTTCCTAAATTCCCTGCCAGTTTGGGAAAAGGTAAACCTGGCTTTGCCCCGTGGAGTTGGTGAGAAGCTCATTTTACGCCTTGCAGCAATGGAACTCGGTCTCCCTGCCTCTGCTCTTCTGCCGAAACGGGCCATACAGTTTGGATCTAGAATTGCAAAACTGGAAAAAACTAATGAGAAGGCATCTGATAAGTGTGGAAGGCTCCAAATCCTACCTTAGAAAACCTCTCTCAAGATTACATCATACTATGATTATTCTACCATATAACAGTACCTTGTGACAGTTACCTCAAAATAAACAGCTGCTGCCTTACTGGGGGATGTAGTGGTCTCACAGTTCATTGTGTGAATTTTACTTTTCTCATCAAAGCTCCATTAGAACAGACCGGTGAGGTAAGTTAGACAGGGAGTTTTCATAGACGGCCTCAGCATTGAGGTCTTAGAAGAAAGCCCAGAATGTACAGGGTTACAGTTGGCCTTTGTAGAAGTTTCACCTGAGAAGTGGGGTGAAGAGGCCTGGAGATGCATCATCATCCAGCTGTTCAAAGACTTGATGAGTTCAGATTTTCAAATGCACAAAAGGGCTTTTAGGACCAAATTGCACAGAAGGATTGGACAGTCACTTGCCCACCCTAGTACCTTGCCCAGTGCATTTCTTCCATCTGGTTGGTTTTGAGTAAATTTCTGAGTTCTGTAAGCACACTGTTGACACTAGGGAGAGGTGTTGTGAGCATTGACTACATAAATAGCTGGCGAGAAGGGGCCCAGGCACTGACTTGAACCAGGCACTTGAAGTGCTAGTCTTTTAGGACAAGGCTTTAAACCTGGGACCTGACACTGACTCTTGGTAGACAGTGTAGAATGCCCAGGTAAAGAGAGATATGGGGGTGGGGGGACCAATATCAGTGTAAGACCATGGCCAGGTTGCTTCCCCATGGTCTTCATGGGAGCATATCTACACGTTATTATTATCTCCAGGAACCTTGATTTGGGCTTTGAAGATTCTACAACTAAAGTTCTGAGAAGCTAAGGAATTTGAGATGTATATTTATAAGACTCAGTACTCTTTTCACAGCTCATTTTCCTACTTAAACTTTTAAGACCCTTTTTAGATGTCCTCTGGTTCCCTCTACTTGCCCCATTTTTAGCCATTCACAAAAAGATCAGTTAGTCCAAGACCTGTCTCTCCTTCACCGCTTCAGAACTGTTTAGATACGTTTATTTTTCAAAGTTGTGAGTGAAAGAATCCAAGAACAAAGATGCCAGCAGAATTGGTTTCCTTACTGTCATAATCTGCTGTGTATTTGCATCACAACTTCCAGCTTACCTATAGTTATACCATTTTCTTTCTTCCCACTAAAACCAGAAATGGTCATCTACCTGTTGAAAATGTCTGTCATTCACTGTATTGTGTATCCAACAGCAATCTGAGGAGCCCTTGCCTACATCCATCTCAGCTCGCCACAGTTCAGTATCGCCCCACACTCCTGAGCTAGTGACCACCTCGTAACATTACTGTTGGGATCTCTATCTAGGGCAGACACTTTTCTAATCCTTTTATTTGTAGTAAAGAATTGTTAGACTAACCTGACAAAGTCCTTCCTGTGCCGAAGT